GCTTTCTCCTCACAATTTATTAAAGTCAGGGGATTCCCTAGTTACACAGCTGAGTGCTGCACTAAAGGAAGGGGAAACAAGATAGACAACTCAATTTCCAGCCTCAGTGAACAGGAGCATTTAAATGTCTTGCGGTCAAATGGTCCGAGAACGGCTGGTTTTGTTAAGCTTGAGCAATACTTCCTGAGAGTTGACCTATACTGCTTGTGCAACACCTCTCTGGACAGTAATATGTCACACATTATACATCATAGGAACATACATTAAGTATCCTATACATAATTATTCCGACAGGTCTGCCCTCTGTCACCGGTCCTGTTCATAACTTTTATGGATAGGATTTCAAGGTGCAGCCAAGGACCGGAGGGGTCTGGTTTGGGGACCAGTGGATCTTGTCCCTGCTTTTTGCGGATGATGTAGTTCTGCTGGCTCCCTCCTGCCAAGACCTACAGTGTGCGCTGGGGCGGTTCGCAGACAAGTGTGAAGCGGCCGGGATGAGAATCAGCGCCTCCGAGGCCATGGTTCTCGACCGGAAAAAGGTTGCTTGTCCCCTTCAGGTTGGGGGAGAGTCCCTGCCTCAAGTGGAGGAGTTCAAGTATCTTGGCGTCCTGTTCACGGGTGAGGGAAGAATGGAGTGGGAGATCGATAGATGAATCGGTGCGGCTGCTGCAATAATGTCGTGCTGAAGAGAGAGCTGAGTGAAAAGGCAAAGCTCTCAATTTACCGTTTGGTCTACTGTACATTCCTACCCTCACCTATGGTCATGAAATCTGGATCATGACCGAAAGAACGAGATCCCAGATACAAACGGCTGAAATGAGCTTTCTCCGCAGGGTGGCTGGGCTCTCCCTTAGAGATAGGGTGAGGAGCTCGGTCATTCGGGAGAGGCTCAGTGTAGAGCCGGTTCCCCTCCACATCGAGAGGAGTCAGTTGAGGTGGCTTGGACATCTTCTTCGGATGCCCCCTGGACGCCTCCCTCGGGAGGTGTTCCAGGCACATCCCACTGGGAGAAGGCCCAGGGGACGACCCAGGACATGCTGGAGAGACTATGTCTCTCGCCTGGCCCGGGAGCGCCTAGGGCTTCCCCCAACAGATCTGGAGGAGGTGTCAGCGGAGAGGGAAGTCTGGGAGTCTCTGCTTAGTCTGCTGCCCCCGCGACCCGGTTCCGGATAAAGCGGGAGACAACGAGTACGAATTATTCCAACACACTCCCAAAAGACCTGTAACTACAGTAGTCTAATGAGTAGTTCTGCAAATTATAGAAGCAGAGGAGTATGCATGCATATTTGTCAAGGAAAAATATTACCCATTAATCCTAGCAAAATATTTGTTAACTTTAAACTATGCTTTTTAGTTTCAAAAAATATATCAAGATACATCTCCCAAACAGAAAAATTGTTGTAGCTTTATTGAAAATCTTTAATTATTACTATTTCACCTACTCTCTTTCATGTAGATCAAATGTGTTAATATCTACTACATTGAACTACAAACTACTCCAAAAACTAAACATTGCAATTTTGAAAACAATTATAACAAATACTTTCTTTTTTTCTGTGTACATCATAATGCCTCATTACCTTTATAAGTAAAAAATAAACTTGGGATCATTAACAGCTTTTATCATTTACAAAGATTTATAGGCTTCTACCTTTCTCTTCCTCCTACGTTTCCTGAATCAGGTGAAGTTTTATTCATAAAACAGCCAGGGCTGAAGCTTGAGTTGGACAGCTCAGATCATCAGTCATCTTGACAGTGACACATCAAGAACTATCACTCATGCAGGGGCTGGCTTAAACACATGGGGAAAAATGTCAGTTGAAATTTTAGACCAATATCTGTTTTCTTTAGAGTGATGTGTAGAGCAGAACCTCAACCAGCACACAAAGGGATTGATGGAGATGGAGAGTCAACATAAATTATTTATAGTCTTCTTGAACTAAATCTTTCAGATGAAAACAAAATCATCATTCTGTGATATTGAAATTTGACCTTCTTTAGCAGTATAGGACAATAAAATTAAGAGAAATTTTAACATAACAAATCACTTATAGGTCAAATAGGGCCCCAGATTTACATTAAGGTGTGATTTTTTCCGGCACACTTTTCACCATATTTTTGAAAACTGAGAGTATAGCTTTCATGGATGTGTGTATGTACTACATTTCCTCTTAAAATCCTAATTTTTGTTGTTTTTTTCATGTCACACTATTTTTATATGTGTCTACGGGGTACATTAAATTGCTGCCCATGTATTTTTTTAGATTTTAAAAAAGGGTGAGGTAAATAGTGGAATCTCACAAAATTTCATTAAAGACAAAATAAAATGTAGTTCTGAAAAACTACGAGAATGTTTCCTGATTTTATTGTGATCACAGCAAAACTACAACAGAGCAAAGAAGAGACAAACTATTCTTCCATGAGGGAGGAGACTACCCTTCTTACATAAAAAAACAGTGAATATTAACAAATAAAATGAATCTCTTCAATCATTTTAAAACAAAATATTTAAGGCAGGTTTTAAACTCCATGTAATAATGATAATAATAATAGTCATAATGATAAAAACAATAATAATAGTAATAATTTAACTGTATTGATCTCACACTGGATAAATTTAGTTCTGCATTTAATGCATGCCCTTTGGGAGCAGTGGACAGCCATTGTGTGGTGCCCGGGGATTAATGTGGGATTAAGGGTCTTGCTCAGAGACCCAGAGTGGAGGCACTGGTGATCGAACCAGGTACTTGCTACCTTCTCAGAGCACAAGAGCACAGCTCTAACCACTAGGCCAACACTCCCCCATAGGCTTCTTTTTTTTTTTTTTTTAGAGTTGTGGTAGTGTAAACAAACATTTGAAATAGGGAATACATCCATATCCAGGGAGAGTGGTGGCCTAATGGTTAGCAGTGCGCCTATGCTTTGAGAAGGTTGCAACTACCCAGTTCCTGAGCAAGACCCCTAACCCCAGATTGCTCCCGAGGTGCCGCACAGTGGCAGCCCACTGCTCCCCAGGGGGATGGATTAAGATGCAGGGGTGAATTTTTACATTGGGAGATCAATTATGTTCAATTATTAGATTTTTTGGTCCAGGAAACCGTTCAGAGTCATTTCAAAGTAGTGCTTAGCAAATCAGAAGTGCTTAAGTTTGGTAAAACACAACAGTACATTTAATCTGTGTTATATGGTTTATTTCAATTATCTGTCATTTATCTTATTTTTTATCAAGGACATTAGAGATGCTAAAGTGTCAGTTTTTTCCTTGACAGAGACAGAATATCTTGTGCCCATCTGTAAACTGTCATTTTAATGCAGAGTAAATCTAGAACAGCTAGCACTGGTTCAACAGAAATGAGTTGTAAGGAATGAGACCCTTTTGAATAATTGTCACCTAAATAATTGTCACTTATAAAGCTTTAGTTAATTTTATAGTTTAAGCATGTAAAAAGTGTTTTCTTTTATTTTGCAAGCAGACATTTCCCCTACTTCTTCCAAAAACACCTGCCAATGCATTGAGACAATTTATTATTAGCTTCAATGTGTTGTTATTATATGCTTCAATGCGTGTAACTGTGTGCAGATGAAACCTATAGCACAAGTTGTTCTCCCAATTGGTAAATGTAAAATTTTCCTTCAAATGTTGTAAAATATAATGATAAGTAGATTGGGACAGTGTTTCATCTTTCCCATCTACTATTGTCTGTCACAGAGATGGTGCATGAAAAAACTAAGCACGGTGTACAGATCAGATAAGGAAAAATGGACTAGGACCTGCAGAATCAGAGCAATCTGCTCTGTTAGATCAACAGCTGAATGCATTTAAGAGTGACACGTTGTCAAAAGAAAAACAGATTTTTTTTATAATACTCAACCCAAAAAACAAACAAACAAAAAAAAAACCCCACCAACAATGAAAATCCCAACCTGATGACTGTTGGAACTGTAAAGAGAAACTGACTACCTGAAGTACGCTAACATATCTGTTCAAGTAAAACATGATACCCCAAATAAGTTCCTTGACATCTATAAGTCTAACAAAGAGGTTAAAGATTCAAGGAATTCAACCTTAAGAGGTTAAGAGTTCAAGGAAGCTACAGTGAGAGCCATCATCTATGGTTAAAACTGGATCTTTTGAGGCCCTAAGGCCCAATGACTTTAACATAGGACCAGGTTGGATTTGACTCTTTATTCTCATTACTAAAATATTTAACCAACTATATTTTGTGTTAAAACAGGTTTTAATTTATAGGAAAACTCACATTGTTTTGAGTAACCATATACCCACTCCTTTTTCTAAATTTCGCCAAAGGCTTTGAGGAACATTGCACTTAACATTTCAATAAATATATAAGGAGACGTTCAATGTTTTGTGTGTTTGAAGTGCAAAAGTAAAGGGCAAGTCAGCTTTAAGATTTTAAATATGACCCACAACTGAACCATTCAGAAAGTAGTGTTTGTATGCCTTTGGGCAGTGGGGGAACCGTTTCAGAGTGGATATAACCTCTGCTTGTGTAAATGAATAAGCATATCTGTGAAGTTTCTCAGTCATCCAGGTCATGTTCAAGCTTGAAAAATTCAGTTTAGGCAAATGGATGTAAGGTTTTCTAGAAGACATGTCGCCTCTCATCCAAGAGGCTTTCTTAGTCCTAATTAGCAGTGGCTGTGATCAAAGCCACCTCTTGTTCCCCCTAATTCTTTGTTACACCTACAGTATATTAATCTCAGTGCTTCCCACCACTAGTTAGAACTGAGGAAACCGCTTGGATGAGAGGCGAAAAGTTTTCTAAAAAAAAAAACTCACCTCCAGTTGCCTAAACTGAACCTTTCAAGCTTGTAAATGAGTGAAAATTTGCTTAGCAAATCAGAAGTGCTTAAGTTTGGTAAAACACAACAGTACATTTAATCTGTGTTATGGTTTATTTCAATTATCTGCCATTTATCTTTTTGAACTGAACCTTTCAAGCTCGTAAATGAGTAAAAATCTATCTTTAAGGGTACCGATAACCTATTTCTACAATACTTACAAAATAAGACAAGTTTGTTAGTGGTCCACTTTGAGAACCATCCTGTCCAACTCTAACTTTTTTTAACTTTAATTTTTAACTAAGTTTTAAAATTCTGAAATCTGCAAGAAACAATCACAGTTGAACACAGATTTGCCTTTTGTCAAGAAACATTTTAATAATCTTATTTAACACACAACACAGAAAATTAACAAAAAGCTAAATCCTTGTATCTTTATATACCTCTATTTGCACTCAGATTACAGTTTATGTGTAAAGAATTTAGCAAATTATTAATTTCAGCAAAATGTGCTTCTTGTGGTATTTGATTTTGTGTTTGTGTATTTAGCACACTCATATTCACTACTTTTGTGAGTTTCTACTGTATAGTAACTTCAAGGCTTCATATATCAGTGCCACTACAAAATGAAATACACTGATAAGTGTGCAAACATACCTCAAAGCATAAGAGGCATACAAAGTAATCATAAAAATGATACAGGTTCCCTGTCAAAAAATAGCTAACAATTCTTTATTGGTCTTTTCGTCATACCTTCTGGTTATTTGTTTCAATAATTACTTCTATCTATTTTCACTGCTTGCCAGGTAGATGACAACTTGACCACAACATCTTCCAAAACTGCTAAAGAAAGGAGTGATAAAAATGTTCAGTATGCTACTCCATGCAGTCTGGATCCACTGCATATTGATGAGTAGGAGCTGCACACAGGGCATGATCAGCCTAGAAGGACACAAAGGGGAGGAGAAAACTTTATTCTTTAATACAATTTTCTTCAAGATAGACAGAATATTAAAAAGAACCTTGTTGCAGCCCTCAAAAAATGACCTTTATTCACTGACAGTATGTCGTGCTACTCATAATTTTCAGTGTTTATGTAACTGTGCACCATATTTAAGCTCCAGTCCTACCAGATGTGGATGCAGCTAAGAACAGCAAAGAGCAGCCCTGCTGCCAGCGACACCGGCACTGCCAGCAAAAGGGAGATGACGCGGTAGCCCCAAAATCTGGACACCTCAAATACAGCATAACTCCAAAGCCAGACACGATCAAAGCTCCGCACTGAAGGGGGTTCACCAATCACATCCTCAAACATGACCTTAAGGCACAAGAAGACAGAAAAAAAATGAAATTGAAATAAATGAGGATGTTGCAAACCAAGCTCGGGGACAAAAATACATTAGATGTTATGTGTCAGACTCAGAACAAAAGGACCCAGTTTTCAAGTTAGGTTTTCACAAAGTGTTTATTTAAGATGAAACATTTGGGAACAGTGTCGGCGTCTAAATCAGGAACATCTGCATGGGGAGACTACAGGTTAGTGACCACGTATATCTGGCGGGATGATAATGAACATGTGAGTCACTAACCTGGTCTTAAAGTTTAGTCTGTGCCCAGAAGATGAGGTAGGTTCCAGCCAGCCGGCTGCAAACTTGGTTTGGTGGACGCTACCCAGAGGGTCCCAGGGGTGGAAAGATAGGTAGGAAATCAGAACCAAGCAGTTGTAGGAAGACAGGATTTGGCACACAGGCAGAATCCAGCAATAGTCCGAGGACAGGTCAAGTAAACAGATGAGAACAGGAACAGGCAGGCTCAGAGGTCCAGAGTCAGAACGGGTCAGGATCAGGCAATCACAAGCATTCAGGTTGACTCTAGAGAACTCTCACCAAAGGCTTGATTAATCTGGAACTGATGACTGGTTGAAGGCTGGTTAAGTAGAGGTTGAAGCAGGTGGATCAGATGAGGGGCAATGAGAACTGGGTGGAAGTAGGCAGGTGAATCAAATAAGTAATCAGGCCATCAGCGCCAAGATCATGACAGTATGTCAGGGAAAAATCACTGGAATATTTTTTTTCAAAATCAAGGATCCTTAAGGTAAAGTGACGCATAATGTAATCACATATGGTACCTAAACGGTTTATGTGATTGAAACGTCAGGTGACAAATACCCTGTACAAAAGATGTGAAATTTTTGGACAGCTTTCAAGATTTTCTACAAATAAAAGTTTGTAGCTCAAAAATGTCTAGTTAAAAAATTTATGGCTCGGTTTTTTTTTTTCAGCCCCCTTTTCTCTGACACCCCTAAACATTATAAGTGCACTCAATCACCTTCCTAAGTAACCTAAATAGTAAATAGTGTTAATGAGGTTATAAATTAAAGCCAGTTATGCAGCTATTGTGAACATGCATAGTCCCCAAAGTCTCATTATGAACAAACTGCTCTGAAACCAATGCTGGATCTCACAGGCTTTGAAACAACTACTATCTGAAAAATACATGGTTTGCATGTTAACAGAAAAGGACAGCCAAAGACAGCATTAATCAGAGAAGAAGACAGGAGCTGCTGTTTATTATGGAGGAGCTGCAGAGCTAATCAGAGCAGGACATCTGTTGACAAGACAACTATCAATCATGCATTCCGAAAATCTGGCCTTTATAGAAAAGTCGTAAACATAAAATAATTGACCAAAGTTTAACTTTATGGTCTAAAAAACAGAAGGCAACAATAGGTACTAAAAAGGCACAGAACATACCATCCCTATGGTGTGTTCTAGACAGACAAATCAAAGATACAGTTATATAAATGTTTGTTTAAGAAATAGCATTCTCATGGGACCAAGACCTAATAACAATGGGGATCTAAAGATCTATCACTTGGGATTTGAACCTTAGCTACAGTATTTTGCAAAAATTAATGGGTAACAGCAGTGACTTAAAGGGGCTAGATACAAATAAATGCCACATATTTTAGGTTTAGCAAAATCATTTTTCATTACACACTTATGCACAATTTATTATCTTTATGTTACAGACAATACAAGTTTAAAAATTGTGACTGAAATGCAAAAGAGGGTATGACAATAATTTGCATCACCATGTATTAAGGAAAGCTTTGGGGATCAGAAAGTCAGTGATAGAAAGGTGAACATTTCTTTTCTTCATTCTCCTTTGTATTCTTATTTTAAAGCAGTTTCCATAGATCCAGAGAAATGGCAGGTGTGTTTCTACTGTCATGAAAGAACATATATGTCTTGAAACCAAAAAAGTTAAATGTTTTTCAGCACCGCAGTGCAAACATGAATGGAAACTACAAACCTTTAGATTGCTGTTGATTCCTTTTGGATCCCTGTCGACAATATGAGGTCTTGTGTCACTCTGGGTGAAATTGAAATCTTTGTCCACCTTTACTTCCGTCAGCTCCCCCACTTTTGGTCTATGCTCGTCCATATCCATTTGACTGAGCCGTGTCCCTGCTTGGAATGGCTGGAAACATGGAAGCTGAATGGAAGTAGCCAAGTTCATAGTCTCATTGTTGACACCCAGGTGGGACATAGTATGCTGATGACTGCCTTGACCATTTCTTGGGAATGTGTTTATTGACTTTGTGTGATATTCAATACAATCAGTCTAATTTATACCTCCATTAGAAGTGATGTTTTCAGAGTCAGTAGGGTCAACCAAGAATATTGTGGTATAGATTTAATTAGTGGAAAAAAGCACAGCCAACAGATCTTTAATCATGAACAGTGATCGTGTTTGCCAGTTATTTGGTGATTAAATGAGAACTGCCCACACTCAGCAGGGTTCGTCAGTGGCTGTTTCGCTAATTGCACAACTGAGCTAAATCCCAAAATTTCATTGGTCATTAATTAATGCTCCACAGCACACCAAACTTCTTGTTTCATTCTCTTATTGCAGATAAAAATGTAAATTCATCTTACATAAGATGTAGCAGGTTGGCAGTTGGCCTATTCTAATTTGCTTAAAAAAAAAAAAAAAAAAAAAAACTAAAACACACATACTTTCCTTCTACAAATACTATATGTTATATATATATATATATATATATATATATATATATATATATATATATATATAAGAATATAAAAAGAAATGTTTTCACATGTTTTGTGGCTGTTACGCTGTTTCCAAAATTTGACCTTTTCCGAGATTTTGTCAGAAAATCTCAGGAAACACATTAATTCACACTGAGATTTCATACATGATAAGTCTCCACAGACAGCAATCTGACATCCCATCAGTCTCCTCAGGATGGATGTTATTCTTAATATAAAATAGGATCATCAGATTGAGTAAAGAACAGAAACTTACTCCATAGATCTCGATCCAGAGGAATGGCAACTTTGTTGCCACATTGCACCCTCTGTTGACCAAAGTATGTCCTTGCAGTTTATTTACTCTGTTGACACTTCGATGTTATAGAGACCAGTAGATTAAACCAGCTATATAGTCCAGTCAAAAGCTAAGTCTACTTTTTTTAAATAAATGAATTGCAGAACAACAAATAGTTAATAATATTAGAATTGACAGTTTATAAGGAGACATTTGTTATTCTTCAAGAAATAGTGCTTAATAACTCTATATGTATTTATTATTATTATTATATAATATAATAATAATAATAATAATAATAATAATAATAATAATAATAATAATAATAATAATAATAATAATAATAATATTAATAATAATAATAATAATAATAATAATAATAATAATAGAACTTTATTCATTTCACACCTTAGAAATTTACCTGTCTCCCATCCTCTTTGGGAGCAGTGGGCTGACATTGTGCGGCACCCAGGGAGCAGTGTGGGATTAAGGGTCTTACTCACGGACCTAGAGTGCAGGCTGTGGGGATCAAACTGGGTCTCAGAGCACAAGCGCACTACTCTAACCACTAAGCCACCACTGCCCACTTTTTTATTTATGATCATGAAGTAATTATTTAATTATGAAATACATGTGTTTTTTAATAATATCTCATTATTTTATACATTGTGTTCAATGCATTTTAACGTTTTAATGAGAAAATTTGATTATCTATGTAATTGTGCATTTTAAAATTGAATGGTTGGTGAAAATTCTCAGTTATCCAGGTCATAGTCATTCTAAAAAAAGAACATTTAAAAAAATCTACAGGATTTTGTTTCCAAGTTTGAAGACATTTCACTTCCCATCAAAGAAGCATTTTAAAATAAAAATGTCAGGAATAAGCATTTAGTTCGAGGTTTTACAAAGCCTTGTTTTTGACAAGGCTTTATCATTAAACCTAAAATTTATTTTAGGTTTAATGGCACAGCATACTTATTCTCCAATAATGATGACAAAAGACAGTATTTGATAGCCTTCTCTCCTTTCCTAGTTATTATTTGTCTTCTGGTTAAACAGCTGAAATCAGCCTATTTGCGTTTTCCATAAAATAATACATTTTGATAGGAGAAAATTTTTAAGTGAACAAATGAAAAAGATTATGATCAGTGAGTATTGAAAATGTGAAATGTCAAAATCCATGACAAATGATCTAAAAGTTGTCTTTTGTACTGTCTAAAAACATATTACAGCTGGGAAAGAAAGCAGTACAGTAGGTAGGTTTAGCATTTTAAACAATCAAGTTGTATGTTCTTTATGATTAAAGGATTCCAAATGAAGAGCTATGTCACTTGTTAAAAAATATATTTTCCTTTTATTCGTATTCCTAATCCCAGAATGTGTCAAGTAGCATGACCGATCCAAAATGCCTTGTTTCTCATAATCCTAAATTGGGCAATTTATGTCAAAAAAGAAAGTAGAACACTGACATTTTAATTGACTTTTTTAATGTCCCTATAAAAACATCTACTCATGACTTTTACTTTTAAAAGCTTTTTTTGCACCATCAGCTTAGTCACATCTGACAGGTGTAGATAAGGCTCTGTTAAAAACGTTCAACCTATACATCCCAGAAAGACACTTCCCACCAAATTTTAAAGCAACATTTGCTAAGAATTACAGTGTTCCCACTTATAGTCACTGATTCTCATGGTTACTATCTGTAAGTCCAGAATATGTTATGTCTGATCTCTGCATTCATAGTGAGGACACTGATCCATAAAATTCCACATTGGTGAATTAGTATCATTTGATAATTATTTCAAATGATGTAATTAGTAAAAAGTTTCAAAAATATTGTAGATAATACATGCTCATGGGTCTATATATCTGATAAGCTAATGTTGTAATCACACAATGTTTGAATACACTTCTACAGTTATGTAACAGTGTGCCTACCAAAATAACAACCATACTGCAGAAGTGTGTTTACTTCTATTTGCTGTAACTACCCTATTCTGTCATGAATGAGGGCTAATACAAACAGCAGAGGCCATAAAATAGCACTTTGTTTCCTCTCTTTGGTGCATCATCAATGCCGGGTAATGATTTCCATTGTAGGTTTTCTGTCTCTTCCCTTTCTTATCCATGACTAGATTATGTTGATCCATATTAGCAGGGCCTTGTACTTTCTATCATTCTATCTATTTATATCAGTTTTTTATCAAACTTAGTTTGTATTTGAGCAGATCTGAATAAAAAGAAATGTACATTTAGCCAGGGGGAGCTTTTGTTGCTACGCAAGTGTGTTGAATAGCAACAGAGAGGTGACATTACATTTTTTTTTATTCAGGAAGTCTGAGGTGTTATCCTTTCACCTGCTGACAATATCTCCCAAAATACTAGGAAGATAAATTGTAGAATATCATAACAAGAAGGACATCCAGGATTTTAAAAATCCAGACCAGGTACACTGCAAAAATGGTCTAGAACTAAGTAAAAATGTCTTAAATCAAGCATGTTTACCCTTCATTTTAGTAGGTAAATGGGATGATTTGCCAATGGAATGAGTATTTTTACTCTTAAAATAAGATTATTAGATAATATCCACTTGAAATAAGACAATGTGGTTCCTTTTTCTTATTTTAAATGTAAATTGTCTTGTTCCATTGGCAAAGTATCTCACTTACCTCCTCAATTCAAGAACAAATGCACTTAGTTTAAGAAAAAATGACTAATTTAGATTTCCATTTTTTGCAGTGTACTTATTATGTTTTTATTATCCATAATTACATTTCCACTCATGTCAGAAATAACATAGGGTCATAATGGAGTCACAAAGAATGCAGTCATGCATATATATATATATATATATATATATATATATATATATATATATATATATATATATATATATATATATATATATATATATATATATATATATATATATATATATATACGGTAATTATCACTTTCCTTTATTGCTAAAATATATATATATATATATATATATATATATATATATATATATATATATATATATATATATATATATATATATATATATATATATATATATATATATTGACCATAAGAGCACCAAGCAAGAAAGAGAAGGAAATATCCAAATTGACACTCTCCATGAAGACTGAAGTTTGCTTCATGGAAAACCATTTCCCAGTCATTAGAGACATTATTTGCCCTATTTACCACGATCATTAGAGGTATGTTGGGAAAACGTAAGGTTAGGATTTTAAAACTAAAAAACACTATTAACTCTAAAGTATTATGTGGTAGCATCATGGTGCAGGTCTGCAATTAAGTGCCAGTGCCAGACGGGTTCATGACAATAAATTTGGTAATTAACAAGTTGGTAGTTTGTTGTTTTAGAAGACAAACATCCCAAAGATAATTAAAACTATTTTTTGAAGAAATTAATCCGAATAACCATAACGTTTTTTAAATGGGCCTCACATGATACCAACTATAAAAGTATAAATTACATTCAAAGACAAGGCTGTGCCAATAAAATATCTAAAATATGTTTTTCTGTAGAAATTTTTTTATGGCATCAAAGGGGGAAACTTGTCATAGGACGTGTATCCAAATAACAGTGTATGTGCATACATACACTTTGAGTCTTATGTATGATGAAACCATAATTGATAATGGATATTGTGCAATCAGATTTAAGGAAAAATTTTTGGTTGTCGGTTTAGTAATTTTACCCTAAAAAAGTTAGGAAACAGAAAAGAAACAATCAATATTAATATAGCATCTAAAACCCTGATGAGAGCATGTGAAGGTTCAACTGAAACAGCAAATAGTTCCATCAGTCAAGAGCAGAAATCAAAGATTTAACATATTAAAGTAATGCAAGAAACAATTGCGCTATTCACCTGTGTTCAGGATAACTGGCCTACAAATGGTTGTGGACCATTTATATTTTAAATGTTTGTTATTTAGGTATCTCGTTAGCACAGTATTCCAGGATTTATGCGTGCTCCTCTGGTATTTGTCCAGGAATAATGTTGGACTGGCCTAAAGTGTTTGTTGGACTGGAGTTAGAACAGCTTGAACGTCTTTCAAGTGTGCTTGTAGTTCTCTGAATAAACTGAAGGAAGTTTTCCTGAAATGAGGCCTCTTGACTGGACGCTCCAACCTCTGTTGGCTGGTTCAGGCAACAGCGTCGAAACTTGACCAACTCGTCTCTGATTTGTCTATTTAAGAGACCATAGAAGAATGGATTAATTGCGAATGAAGAGTAAGCAAGCCAGGTTACCGCCTCTTCCAAGTCCCCTGGGCTTTGCATGGAGCCGCTGAGAGACATTTGAACATGGAAGATGAAGTAGGGCAACCAACAAACCAAGAACTGGCCCACAATAAACACCAAAGTTATCGCAGCTTTTCCTCCACTAAACGCCCTCTCTGGGGACAGTCTCTGAGGTAGAGTTCGGCTGGTGGAGATCATGGTAGTTTGGCTGTTGATTGAGTCAGAGCGATCTTTAGCAGGGCACGTATTGACCCATGTTGCCACGGCTGGGACTTGCTGTAAGGCTGCTGACCGCGCAACCTTATACACAGCACAGTAAACACTAAAGATGACAACTACAGGGGCTAGGAAACAAATCACGCAGAAAAGCACACCAAATACTCTTCTTAGACGGCTGTGGGTTGCGTGAAGAGAGCAGTGAGCTGCGGCAATGGAGCTCTGAGGTCCATAGGCTGGCCATCCAAACAATGTGACCACTGCTAAGAGGAGTGATTTAACCCAGATGAGGACCATTACACCAATAGCAAGGTTGATGGTCATCTTGACTTCATAAAGCATTGGGTGGACAATGTAGAAGTAACGTTCCAAGCTGATGGCAGTGATGGTGAGAATGGAAAGACAGATAAGGAAAACATTAAGAAAGATGTAAACTTGGCACTCCAGAACAGTGAACACCACTGTGCCGAAGTATGGAGAGCTGGATATAATGCCCAAAGGCATCAGGAGGATGGCGCATAGCAGGTCTACTGCACACAGGTGACACGCAAAAGCAAACTTCTTCAGATGAGGAGCACGAGCTATAGCCACCATTACACCAGTGTTGGCCAGCAGAGCAATGAGGTTAAGCGTCACCATGCAGAACAACCCGAAAAGGTCCTTAACTTGGGATTGGGAGCTTGTGACGACGCCGACATCAGCAGGGACGGTGGGATTGGACCCCGACAGGGCAGTGGTAGAGTTTGCGACAGCAGTATCAGAAACAGATGGGATGATGGACCCAGTCATGTCCGCCATCATTTATTCACTTCCTCCTCCATTGTTAGCGCAGATGTTCCCATAAGTGAAATTGCTGTTGGAAGAAAAATAGGGGAGATTTTATTTCCACATTTATCACAAAACAACAATAATCAAAGTTTAATTATTTCAAATACAATCATTTCAATAAATTAGAATGTACATTCTGATGAGACTTGTATCTCAGATCTAGAGATCTTTTGAAAAAATAACTAGGCAGTTATTAAACATATTTATCATAAAGTTCACACCGATTTATTAAATATTTTCTATCCTTCTTACCTTATTATTTTTCACAATTTATTTTTTTATGATAACCCTATAAACACTGCAATTCCATATTTCCAGTTTTCATTATTACACAATAAAGAATAGTTATAGCTATTTTAATTTGTTGTGGCAAAAGTCAAGGCAACATATTTCACCATAATCCTTAACTTAATATGTCTGCAAAATGTTTTTTGTTTGTTTTTTAAATTCATTTACATGTTGCATTAGATTCAAGTTCTGACAAATACTGTTTCATAGATCCATCCTATGGGAAGGGGAAACGGGAAAAAAAAAAAAAATCTGTTGTTAAAAGAAAGCCATAAAATATTCATCCGTCTGTTTGCCACCAGCTGTGTAGTACATGGAAATCTAGAAGGTAAAAGGTTTTAAAGCCTGTAACAGATTAGATTGGAAAGGAAGGTATGCCATCCAGCAAACAGACCTCCCTGCACCTATAACCACAGCTATGGGGGACTAGCTTTGAGCAAACTGGATTAAAATGTTAAAATGCCATATTGAAGTCCAAACTATAAATTTAACTGACAATATTTGGGGGAAAAAAGATCTAAATATATGTTTATATACTCTCCATCTGACAGAGCATGAGTAGTTTTTTTGCAAAGCAGTATGAGCAAACACTTTAGGAAGCAGGTACACACATATCAGCTGTAACTGTAGCTTTAAAACGTTGACTCTGTCATGTCATATACAAATATTAGATTTTTCTTGGTACATCCTTGGGGTAAAACATTTAGAAAACCATTTATCATGTTCCCACCGATTCAAAATCAAATGCTAATATTTGTTAACCATGGAAAATATAAGAAACATCTATCTGTATTAACATTATTGCCCAAAAAAAGCATTGCAGGTTCTTCATTTTCATTTCAGTGACATTCTGACATTTAATAAAGCTGCAAAAACTCTAAGTTAGTTTAGACAACAAGATATATAACATCCTAAAATTAACGTTTTAAGCTTTATGGTGTCACAATGATTTTTTTCCTAGTAGCACTGTGCTGCTTCAGATGAGACAACTGTTATTTAAGTGACCTTTTCATGTTGACAAATAACTGTTAAGCCCAATATGTCAATATACTACTAAAAAGGCAAAACAGATTTTAATAAAAAAAGACTTACCCCTGGTTCACTCTGAGTTTGTCTAATTTAAAGCCAACTATATTGACTTTAATTCCATATAGTTGCTTAAAAAAGTAAACAGATGAGATGCTTTGTTTCTTTTTCATCAAATGTACAGCAATCATTTATCCACCTCTGTTCAGAAAGAAATAAACTTTCTAATTTGTGTCTTTTCCTGTGACAGATTTTGTCTTTTTTCATTCCTCCTCTGATAAGTCTGTCCTGTCCTGTGTATGGCAGTGACTGTCACACATTGTTTTGTGTAATGATGCACACGTTTTTTTCCCCATTTGTGTACAGACACACACTCTACTGTCCTCCTACCAGTCTTTTCTGGGTCCTAACTTCCTCCATTTTAAGAGGAGAAATATCATTTCCTGAAAACCATAAAACTACCTCAGATTCATCAAAAATCTGTTTGCTTATTACTTTATCACACAAAAACGGACCTGTATAAAACCTCGATCTCGACGCTATTTCCGAAATTTTTTATTGAAAAAGCTTTCTGGATGGGAAGCAAAACGTCTTTAAACACGGAAACCAGTGGATTGCTTTTAATCTTTTTGGAATGACTATGACCTCGATGACTGAGAAACTTCACCAGCAGATAAGACTATTATTTAAGTGTAAAAATGTACGTTGTTACCTATCATTAGTTTTAGGCCTATTTTTCTTTCATCACCTTATCAATCTTTTAAAAGTAGACCTTAGATGCATAATTTATAGATCATTATTTAAATGTAACTAATTTGAGTGGGAATAAAATTTCATGTTGGATAGCTATAGAAAACAATAATTCCGCTTAATCGTTTAAATTTAAAAATCGAACCATAATTAGGATTAGAAAAGCTTAAGAATATTTTCTTTTAAAAAATTGTGAATGATTAATCTTATTAATGGTTTGTAATTACTTCATACACTATATTGCTTTAAGCATTTGTCTAACACTCTAAATCAGGCATCCCCAAACTCGGTCCTCGAGGGCCGCTGTCCTGCAGGTTTTAGAGGTTTCCCTGCTTTAGCACAGCTGATTATCATGATTGCAGCAGAGCTGAAGCCTGTTAATCAGCTTTCAATTAAAATCAGCTGTGCTGGAACAAGGGAACCTCTAAAACCTGCAGGACAGCGGCCCTCGAGGACCGAGTTTGGGGATGCCTGCTCTAAATAATAAAATAGTTGTAACCCCTTTCTTGGCTACTGATGAATAAAAGGAAGAACCTAAGCCTACAGACTGATTCTATAGGTGTTTGCTGAAGAACGGGTTGCTTAGCAAACTCCAGGGCCATGGGTCATGAAATTCCCAGCTTTATTCCACATTCCATCAGCTGTCAGTAGCATTATAACAAATTTGAAAACTTTTTGGAGAGACAGTAATTCAGCCATTAATCGATAGGTACGTTAACAGAGATCAGATGCACTATGAGCCTGATCTTAAAAACATTTGCATGTATTACAACACCATCTTTATATGAGATTCTACGTTTTTTATTATTGTAGTGACCACACCAAATTTATGATACAACAAGGCATTTTGCATTTAAGACATTTAGTTTTGGTCAACAGGATGAGGAACTGTCACTGTCATCTCTTCCTGAGCCTTTTTTGTTTCTGATTTCAGTTTCTTCAGGTCTTCCAGCACCTTAGGAACAACATTTAAAAGTAACATTAGCGCTGACAACTTTTTTAATAGCAAAAGAAAATTAAAGTCAATATTTTACCATAAGCACCTTCTTTTTCTGTTGAACAATATCTTTGCTGTGTATGGTTGGAGGTGTTTTCCTGCCAAAAATGTGAGGAATTGTACTGTAGAACTTTGATGAGAGTTCTTTAAGGTCTCTTTTATCGTTTGGGTTCAAAGCATCTTCAATCTCCTCCAAAATGTCCTTGCCTTTATCAATCTGTTTCTTGCTGAGGTTCTTGATGTCTAAAAGTTAAATGTGCACAGAACAACTGGTCAAATCAAGAGTTTCAATAACTCTATTAGAACATCTAATTTGCATAATAAATATTTATTTGCATAAAAGGATAATAAATATTGTAATTTGTCTTTTAAAATAAAATCCTGAAACAGCTTTACAGTCTTTAGGCTGAATTACTGAGGTGTCAATGTGATCATCACATGATGTTTTAGTCATAAAGGATTACATAAAAAGGCAATTTTAACAAAATTTTCTGTACAAACTTACATAGTTCCTGTACATCCTCCTTAACATGGTCCAACTGTGGACCAAAATGTACAGATATATATTGGTTCCAAAGATGAAGCTAATGAAAATAATAACAGTAGCTGCAAGTACACAATGCTTCATGCCGCAGAGGGAATATCTGTTATATTACCTTGTCTTCAGCATCCTGCTCTCCTTCTACTTCAATCAGTGTGTACTTCCCAGGCTGAGACTCAAAATTCCAGCGATCAGCCCAGTTGGTATTGGTCCTTTTAGAAAACTTTGTCTCAAAGTCTTTAATAGCCGATTCAAGATCTTTAAACTTATGGCATTTGAATTTTTCCTTTTCTCCCTAAAAAGTATTAAATAATGATTTAGTATAATGGTGCATTCAGACCGGACACAGTGTCACATAGTATTTCTATAGAAGCTGCGCAGGGAAGTGGCCAGTGGTGAATCCCATGTTTTGAAGGTGTTCACTGCCTTGTGCTACTACAGTAGATAGAACTGAGGTGTTGTCAAACAGCGGCTCTGAAAAGGGGATGAAGTTGAAAAATTTAAACTTTTGGTAAATGGCCTGCACTTATATAGCACTTTTTCGAATCAGGAGACTTGACCAAAGTTCTTTACACTACATTCAGTCATTCACCCATTCACACACACACTGATAATGGCAAGCTACATTGTAGCCACAGCCGCCCTGGGGCTCACTGACAGAAGCAAGGCTGCCTTACACTGGCGCCACCGGGCTCTCTGCCCAGCATCAGTAGACAATGCAGGTGAAGCTTCTTGCCCAAGGACACAACAACACTGAAAGTCGGAGCCGGGGCTTGAACTGCCAATCCTTGGATTTCGGGGAAAACTCCATCGACGCCACTGTCGCCCGTACTTTTCCATGATATTGCTACACAGAAACCAATCAGGGACTGGTTGTAGGTGAGGCTTTTTACTTTAAAATTGAATACAGTGAAAATAATGTTAACAAATGTAGAAACAAGGAATGCTCTAAAAAGATTTTTAGGTGGTTTAAAAAAAGGAATTTTAATTTAGCTCTAGAGCTCGGTTTCCTCCCTTTCCGCCAGCACAGACCCCAGTCTGTAGCTGTGGTGGGTAGATTATCTACGGCAGGCCATTGGATAATTAAATTGACTTCACTACACTTACATCCAAGAGATTTTTAATCGGTTTTTGACTAGACATAATATTCAAATAGGATATATGTATTTATTTTGAGATTAGGTAAAATACTAATTTCATATATCTCTAAATCAATTCTGATAAGTCTATATTACATCAAATTTACCATTAATTTGTATGGGGTTCAATTATCGAGGTGGGCCCCATACGAAGTATAACTCCAGACCCACCCACCCAAAACACACACACACCCACACACACACATGTTGTGTCACAATATCCTTGTGGGGACCTTCCATTGACTTCCATTAATTTCCCACTAATTTATATGGCCTAACCGTGACCCTTGCCCTAACTAACCCTAACCATTACCGACACATACCTATCCCTAAACCTAACCTAAACTCAATTCACACCTCAGTTCTAAACCTAACCCCCAGCCCAAGAAGAGAAACTTTCCTTATGGGGACCAGTTGTTTGTCCCCACAAGTACCTATGAGTCCCCAAAATGTAGCATATTCCTAGGAAATTATCCCCACCAGGTATTAAAGACATGGCCACACACACACACACACACACACACACACACACACACACCTGCCGCCGCCGTAGACAACCATACACACTTCATGATTCTTCACCTTCAATAGACATGGATATACTTTAGTATATTCTGCTGTAAAATGAGTATTATTGGCGGCTCACCATCATGTTGAAATCTGCCATGTGTTGGGGTATAAATAAGGTCAGATCACACAAACTTGCATCAGGTGGGTTAAATAAGGATTTTTTTGCACCATTACATCTACAAAGAGACGTCCTAGTCCACAATTGCGTAGGGGGCCAACCAGGTGTCAGTGACGGGGCCTAAGAGGTCGGGGGCCCCTAAGCAACTGCAGTCTCTGCTTACCGATATTTATGCCATTTATGGGGTTTCCAGTTAAGATATCTGCAAAACATTACTGACTATCTGAAAGGTATATTTCAGATATCAACAATAAAATTATTACTAATCGTAAATAAAATTGTTAGATATCTCGCTTTATGTTCTGACTAGTCATAAATCAAATTGAAGATATCTCAAATTACCTTCTTATTCAAGAGATCTTGAATGTATTTTAAGAGATCTTAAAGCAGGATTTGACTACTGGGAATTCAATTGCAGATATCTTGAAAGCAAATAATGATTAGGCATAACAGCATTACAGATACAGTATCTTGAATTGTATTTTTGACTAGTCAAAATTCCTTTGGAGATATCTCAAAACTAGTTAGAGATATCTTGAACATTTGTATTTCAGGTATCTTAAATTATCATTCTGACTTGTCAAAATTACCTAGCATTTTAACAAGAATTTTTGGCAGAAAGTTCACAAAGGCATTCTAGCCTTTTTGGTGTTTGCTATTCAGTTGTCTGCAATGATATGTCCAATGTGAATTCTCTGGTTTTTAAAATGACTTTATATATATATATGTATATATATGTGTGTGTGTGGGTGTGTTTATTTAAATACACCACATACAAAGTATGAATTGGCGGGTCCCCACTTGTCAATTCTTTAGATTTTGTCCTGGGTCCAGCCAAGGCTGTCAGCTGGCTCAGATAATTGGCCTATTGTAATAAAGTGATTGTTATATATTTATAGTTAAACTACCGGTACACTGCTTATTACTGTGGTATATGTAGATTATAACTGTTGTAATTTGGCTTTACATAAAAACAAACTTAAATTAAATTAATTGAATCAACCTACCACTCTTGCCCATCTGCTGCAAGAACAGTATAAGCCGTTTTCGTCTCTGACTTGGATGATGTAAACTTTGTTGTTGTTTCCTTTAATGTTTGTTAGGATCAGAATGCAGTCATAATCCTTATGCACCTTAACATTTATTTTAATTTATAGATAATGATATATTGAATGTCTGCGCTCATAGTCTACCTCTCCTGAAGAAGGGTTGCAGTGCTCATCCACCGTCCCTTGGACGCTAATCTGTGGCCTTGCAGCCAGGGAGGCGTCCGTGGGCTCCTCTTTCACCTTTTTTCCACCTGCCTTGGGAGCAGAGGCTGCTCTTCTCTTCATGTCCGTGCTTCAGTAACAAGATAATTTTTTAATTATTATTGTTATTAATTCATCCAAAAGGAGTGGACTGAAGCAAAGAATTATAAATGCCCACCCCTTAGATAAAAAAAAAAAAACAATACTAATTTTTCCTTTAACAATCAAGAAAGGAACAAAGCGCAAAGGCAACATCACATCAGAATAACATGGCGAAAAAGCAAGATCATTTAAATACATAACGCAGCAGGTGCATTTGTTACAGATAATTGTAGGATAAATCAAAATAATTAAAGAAACAAAAAGTCACAAAAACAACAAAATTTCACAAACAATAAATGATTTACAACTTCTGCTCTATATAAGAGTTCATTATTTTATCTTTTTGTAAACAGAAGTACTAATGAACAGGACTTAAGCTCATCCTCTAAAGAGTTCCACTTAGTCACACCTTGAAACGACAGACTTCATAATTTAGTGTCTGCTTTAGGTTTAGCAAACATTCATGATCCTCTAAGTTCACATGAGGTGCTTTAACATAAAACAAAGTTGCTAAATAAAATAAATCTGGTCTAGTTTATATATAATGAGACTTTATTGATGTCAAACCACTTTTTTTAGGATCTTTAATTCTGTTTCCACTCTATAAGGAAGTTGATTAATATCCTTTCCAGAACAAAAAATATTAGTGAGATCTGCAAATGAAATAAAATAACGAAGTGTTGATGCTTTGCAGATATCATTTATGTACAGTAAAAATAATTTTGGGCCTAGTATTAAACCCTGTGGAAGTCCCTATGTTATCCCTTCTACTCTGATTTTTCATTTTGTATTTGTACATATTGATCTATTAGAAGAATAATTCTTTATTCAATCATCGGCAATCCCTCTAATTCCATAATGCTCCAATTTCTATTAGATACTCTGTCCACAAGAAAACACACATTTGGACATGTATTATCTCCTCTCTGTCATTGTATTTGTAATTCACTTAAATATGATTCTTCCTGGTTAAAACTACATTTCTACTAAACTGTAATTAAATATTTCCTATATTACATTTTTTTCCAGCAGAAACTTGATATCAGAATGTAAAAAAATAAAATTGCACTAGTAAAAATAACGTTTTGGCTCGTCATTTGACATTTATCAGCTTGAATGAATTTCTATTTTAGATGTCTTAAATACATTCCCTCCCAGTCAAAATGACATGAAGTTTCCCATTCATGTGTTTTAAGGCTGAAATTTCATTACAGACATCAACTACTTATTATATGACTATAAAGTGGAATTTCAGATATATTAATTTAATATGTCTTTACAGAATGTGATTGGAGATAGTAAAAAAAACATACTAATAGTAGAAGTATATTTTAATGTCAGGAATTTGATATCTTGAGTGTTTTATTCATTTCTGATATCTGAAATAAGTGATAACCTCATTATAAGTTTTCAAATGCTTTGATTTAATGTTTCTTTTGTTTTGTTTTCAATGTACTGCTGCCTAACTAGTTTTATTGTATTTGCTCCTATTCTTGATAGAAGGTCACTGTTTAAATCAATCATATCTTATGTTGAGTTAATTTAAGATGCAGGTACAATTTTCCCTGACCTTGTACCTTGTAACTTACCTTGTAAATTTTGCAATAAAAAAAAAACAAAATCACGTGTCATCATCCGATCATACCATGAGCTCTTTTGTTCATATGCAACCAGAATACATCAGTCCATTTTCGATTTCAGAGATGTTCATTTTGACTTGGACACAATGTATTTAAAGGAAAAGTCCATTCATATTCAAAATTTAAACTTCTGACAGTACTTTTATGAAATAATTACATATGTTCCAATAAATTGTAAGTATTTTTAATTAAGAGTAATTTTCATTTGAATGTGCTTTACCAGAGACATCCATGTTTGTCAAATAATACTACTGCCACCTACTGGTTTGTTACATCACGGTGCAGTATCGGCTGTTGATCAAGTCCCAGTCCTCTATCTGGTGTTTGTCACAACGCGCTATTATGCAAGTCAGCTTGAATGCATTCCTCTTCTAAATGTTGGCTACATATTACGTTTTTTTCTCTGGCCAGAAGATGGCAAATTCTCCCTCTTCAAGTTGGCAATCCAATGATGAACCCGTCCTTGGAGGATTATGAGTCAGAAAGGTGAAATAACTTATCTTTTTTTCACTTTTACCAGATGTATTACAATATCTAAGTGCCATGCACAAAGGCATTGTAAGATAAAACTATAGCTCTTGCAAATTTCAATGGTGAACTCTTCTTGAAGTCTTAAATAATTGTTGTTTATTGCAGATGTGTCTATTAGTTCCCATTGATTTTACTTTTAAAGCGGGGAGAATGGCGATAGGCTTACTGCACCGTGACATCACTGCCGGAAGATGTCAAGAGTGAGGCGTTAACTATATTTGACGAAATTTTAAATTTTTACTTCTTTAGTGATTAACGCTAAATTCATTAAATCACTGCAAACGTATTCGCTTTAGGTATAATGGTCCATTGATTTTTCCTTGCTCACTGGACTTTACCTTTAAAACATTCAGTGAAGCTAATAAATCCCAAATTGACCTGCCATACCACTCGCCCAGCGTTGTCTTTCCCTGGTCATGAAAACAAATTTATATATGTTTTATGTTTATGTATTAGGCTATTATGACTTTTTATTCCATTAACCCTGCAAATATTGCTCGTTTTATGTATCAAATAACAGGGGTAAAAGATAATTTGTAATAGCAAATCCATAAGTTCAGATAAAAAACCCGATTCTTACTATTATAGAACCTACCTTTTCTTGAATAACCAATATCATCAGCTGATGTAGATCTACTGTAGAGTAAGGGGATATTCCTTCTGCTGTCTCACCAGTACTTAGATGCATACAATCACCAATACTGTTTCCAAATCTCAAGCAAGGAAAGTCACTATCGGCTGGTCTCAAAGCTCCTTGACTTTTTTTAAAAGGCATCATCACCTAATTTAAATATGTGGAAATTTGCAAATATGGAAAATGCTTGCCTAGAATGGGAGTGTGTGTGCTGATGGGTGTGGTTAAGTTACGTGAACAGAGCTGTCTGCAATTAAAGCAGATGGCTGTGTTTCATATCAGTGAAGATCTGATTCCTCCGACTGGATTGGGGTTAATGGTCTTTACAGGGTTCTGATGTGTGACGATTAAAGTGTGAGTCACAAGAGAGGGAGGGCAATGTCCTCACCTGACTCACACTTAAATGAGGCATATATACAGTTTATGGTACTGTATCTCAGTGCCCTCCACCACTAATTTGAACTGAAGAAGCCTCTTGGATGAGAGGCGAAATGTCTTCTAGAAAACTCTATATGCCGTTACCTAAACGGAACTTTTCCAGCATGATGGCGGAGTGATGATCAGAGTTTACTGGAATTCTTAGCTATCTTAATTGGGGTTATCAGTGCTATGGATAAGAGTAGCCAAAGAGTAATAAAAAACAGTTAACGATTTCCGTTACCCTAGAAATCATAACAGTAGATCCAGCAAACACATACCAGTCTTGTTGATACAGAATTGTAGGTTTACATGGGTTTAGTAGATTAGTTCCAACAAAATGCGTATTCAGCTCTACAACACAGACTGGAAGCTAATGATCTGGTTATGTGAACAACATGAAGGAAACTAGGCAGAGCTTTTACTTTCTAGAGCTGGACCACCCATCTCTGCACGGCATCTACCGTTGCCGCAAAAGGCCTACATGATTGAGGCCACTGATGCAGTAGGGTTCGTTTGAGTGAAATAACCCATCTAAATGCTAGATGACAGTAATTCTAATACAATATCACATTTACTATTGGCAAGATTAAAATAACATGCTCTTCTATAGTTTAAGTTTCTAGTTAAAATGACCTACATTTATGAATGGAAAAAAGTTCTAATGGGGGATTTCAAAAAGGAAGAAATTGATTGATTGAAATGAGAGCAAAACCTATCTGGATGTGGATTTAAAGACCACGGGCAAAAAGGTGGTCTGATAAGCTGAAACCAAAAGTATCCACTATCTGTGGAAAAACTAACAATGCAAACTACTGTCAGTGCAACTTCACAGTACCACATGATGCATCATGCAGTGGGGAAGGTCTTCTTCAATAAAGACAGGGATGATGGATATAGACGTCCAATAAATAGATTCAGTTAAATTCAGGGCAACCCTGAAAGACAACCTGTTAGAGGTACAAACCAGAAAACCAGCAAGAAAAAAAATGACATTTTACAAGAAAAATCTTCAGGTTAATATTTTCTTCTGAATTAACATTTATTACACAATAATTTCTTAAACACAGACAGGTTTACAGGTGTGCCTGTTTCTGTTTATTGGATAATTCAGGGCTTCTGTGTGCAAAATAAAGATTTTTTTTTTGTTAGTGTGTGGCATCATGTTTCAACAATCTGAAACCATAAGTACATAAAAGTATTAGCAATTAGCATGTGTCACTAATGACAATCACTGTATTACTTTTTTTTTTCATTGTGAACAACATGCTGGACTTCACTCGCCTGTAAACACAAATGTATATTAACTTCCATTTTACTCTTGCTCTATTTTATTTAAAATAAAGGTGCAAATCTATACTGGAAGTCACTTTATAGCTAAAGTTTATACATGTAAAGGGACCATCTCCAGGAAAGTGTTCCAAAAAAGATAATTATTCTTCTTCTTGGTCAGCTAGCCTTCATATATTCCTACATGAAAAACTGTAGGATTAATTACATTCATCCCTTAAAAACCCTAGAGTGCAAACAAACATTCTGACCATTTAAGCATAGTCAACTACAGATTTCCAAAAGCATTAAGAAAATTCATCATTTTTTATAAAGTACAGAATATTACTTTTGTATTTCACCTAAGTATGTGCAAAGCCAAAGCACATTCTATGCATCATGCATATGCTTGTAAGGCACAGAACAGAAAGAGGCGCTTATGCAATATGGTAGGAGTAACTATTCCTTAGGACCTGCACAATCAGAGTTAAATCTTTACAACTAATAATTTATTTCCATCTCAAGCAGATAGCGAAGGCGACACTGGCTCTCTTTGTAGATCAGGTATTCACTACTGCTGAAGTAGCTTTCAGAGTATTGCGGCTGCTTGATGGCATTTCCCTGAGGAACAGTGACCTTCTTGCCTTCCAGGTTGATGACGATGTCTTTAGACGGATCTGAAAACACAACAGACAACCAAAACTTCCTTTGGTCTTTCAAGCTTTCATAACTTATGTTCATGTATAAAATAACTATGATTGGTAAAATGTGCCAAAGAGGGGCTGATTAGGCTGGATTATATTTTTGTTTCCTAACAACAGAGGAATAGTTGCTAAATGAAAAAAAAAAAAGACCAGATAAAACACATATAATGATAAGCCAGCTAACAGAAACCATGCTTAATGAACCCATCCTGTTTAAATTCAAGTTTTTTGTGAACCATCCACTTCAAATTGTTTTTTGTCTTGTTTTTTTATTTTAACATACTTTAATAATCAAATCAATTTTCTGCATTTAACCTATCCCATTGGAAATGGCAGTCTGTGGGAGTGGGGGGATTGAAGTCACTATGCCCTAACCACTAGGCCGCCACTAGTTTGTACAAAAATACTTTCTTTACACATAGTTGAGGCTTACCCTCTTAAGTTGACAATTTTCTTTGTAATTTTTTTGTATGTTTTTGGTGTGACTTTGTTTTAATTACCTCTTTTGGCTATTCAGGGCTCTTTAACCACAAAACATTTAAATAAAAAATGACCCACATTAAGCCTATAACCTGTTAAAAGAGATACTCTAAGTAGGTCCACTCAAAATTAAGCACTTCCGTAACAAGTTTAAAAAGCTATCGTCAGTGGAGCCCCAAATCGACGAGTAAACATGACAACACTCATCAGGAGGTGTCTATTTCACCTAACGGGAACTAGAGATTTTAATAAAGAAATAAAGAAAAAAAAGATGGAGAATGTGTTAAAAGAAGATAGAGAAGGAGAAAGTTGCTCAACTTAATGGATAGGTTTATATGAACTCCCTATGGCAGGTCGTTTTTACGTTTATTAAAAGCATTCTCCTCTTTAGTTCCATTTATAGATCAATAAAATGAGATTCTTCCTGATAAGAAATCACACTGCTAGACTGAACTGTAATGATATATTTTCTAAAATACATTTTTGCAGGAGAAAATACATTTTAGAAAATGAAAAAAACAAAATTATACTAGTAAGAATTTGTTTTTATATACCTAGAAATGTTTACGCATTTTAAGTGGCCGTTCTGAAATTTCTCACCTTGACTGAATATGTATTGACATACCGGTAGGAAAAATAATACAACAGGAATTTGGAGATCTATAGTTCATTTCTAGACATACAGAATGCTTATTCTAGATGGGAACAATGTAATTTTGTTTGAAATGGTCATTTTGACAAGGAAACAAAGTTTTTTTTCAGATAACAGGAATACATGTTTAGTAAAAGTAATACATATTAAAATGGCTTGCCGTAGTATGTTGTGACCACAGTAACATTACAGGTTTATTTCTTCAATGGTAGTGGATCAATGTATCTATTTAGGTGAAAACATCTGGCAGCAGGTGAAGAAGAGGTCTAAAAATGTTTTAATAGGTGGAACCTGTTCATCATCTCATGGGTTCTCAACAGTAATATATATCCGTTCATTTACATACTTTACATTGTTTGTCTTTTATTAATTCTGAAGGTGTGACGGCTATTATCTTTCTGTGGCAGTAAGCGACAATCAGTTACATTTCGCTGAAACCCTTCAATTCTTACATCAGTGAGGGCAAATCTGTTTGTTGGATGCTGTGGTGTAACACCTTATTCACAATGAATCCGTCATAAAAATTTAATTCATCTGTCAAGCCAACTAAATGCAAGTAGGATCCATTGATCAAGACAACTCCCCTCAACCTAACTCTTCCCATTTCTGACTTTCTGTTTGTCTTGTGAGGTTTTAGATATATTTTCCCGTTGTGCTTAGCAATCTTTAAAAAACATAGAAATTCTCTATGTTTAACAAAAAATGACAGAAGGTTTTCTGTCATGCCACAGCACCACCGAGCCTGTGGAAAATATCTCATCAATCATGGGCATAGGTTTGCATAGGGACCATAGGGACATGTCCCTACCAAAATTTTGGACAGACCTATTTGTCCCTACCAATAATTCGATTTGAAAAACATGTTTATAATTTACAAATCAGCCACTGTGTGTGATCACAGCCTATCTTTTTTCTCTCGCAGCTAATTAGCTGATGCTGTTGCTCCGTCTTGCTGCCCGGTCTTTCCTGTCCCTTAAATCAGTAACTGTCCTGTTTAGCTCCACTCTCATTGGTTGCTCTGCCTCAAGTTCCGCCTTCTCTCTTCCTGATTGGCTGTGTTCTAGTCCGTATGCGTTTGTGCGAGCTTGGAGCACGAAATAAGAATTTTATTCACTCTAGTTACTAAACTTAATATTAGGCTACAAAACTAGTCCTAATGAAAAAAACGTAATTCTATCTACACTTAAACAGGTGAAAGCTGCTGATTGCTGATTCTTAGCCACGGCCGACTGACAAAGAAAATGTGAGGGTTTCCCTTTTAACAATACTTTATTGTTATTACTGTTTTCACTTTATGACGACCCTTTGAGGCAGTTCAGCTACAAATAGCAGGTTTTATTTCTTTTATAGAGAATAACAACACAAAATGGCGCCTAAACATTTGCTATTTTTGTTTAGAAAGCATTATTACGGTTCCACATAATGTTGCTATTTCTTTGACTATTTCTACTTTTAAAAATAAGATAAAGCCAATTACAATTACATTAGTGTTTAGTAAAAAATGCTTGAATCCGGCTGTTTATTTTGAATATTATTACATTACAGACAAGAAGGTGTTATGTTTTCTTTTAATAATTGTTAAAAGTGATTTTATATTGGAATAAATTCAGTAAACTTTTTAGTGTTGTGTTTTGTAGATGATGCCACTATATGTAAATACAATAAACGTATTTGCCATTCCTTGAATGTGTTATTTTGCGTTATTTCATGATACAGAGAGAGCATTCAAAAAATAAGAGTGTGTTTCACCCGTTTACATTTGCACAATTCTATATCTTCAAAAGAAAATACAGGATAAATCCACATATAACAGGCATATTTAGACTATATTTGGTTAAATAGGCACATATTTACCTACTGTCTTAGTCACAGGTATGTTTAAATGCAAACCTTTTCAAAGTGAAAAATAATTAATGCCACATTGATCAGAGCCAGTGACGCTTCAAACATTGATAAACAACATCTAATGTGTGTAGTGCTGATAAAATTAGTATAAATGTAGCAAGAAACGCTGCTTTTCTCTTTAAACGAAATGCACCCTGATGCTCACGTCAAGCATAAAAAAAGCATGCATATTTTTGCAAAGGTAAAATGACAGTAATTAAACTTAGGACCAATAGTGTCCCTACACTTTGCTCCTCATGTCTAACTTCCTATCTGGCTCAACCGTTTTATTGTTGCCTTTGCTGAGTCACCCATCAATAAATACTCATCCCAAGTTTTGATCACAGATGCTGTGTTGTCCTGCAGAGGCAATAACCTTAAGAGTAAGATTTAGAAATGCATCAAAGTATTTTACCTGGTTCCATAGTGCCTCGTGCTACCACACTGTCATAACCTGCAGGGGCCTTCTTCAAAGTGTGGTTGTCTTTGGTAATGGTGAACTCCTTACCCAGAGCAACCTCACTTAGAAACATCACTCCAGTTTTGCCTGAGGTAGTCACTAAAAAAAAAAAAGAAAAAAAAATACTATATAGTCAAATATAATATTACGATCTGAAAAGATGTAAAATATAGTCTTATTAGAGGTATCTCACCATAACATATAGATTTAGCATTTTCAGAGGCAAAGTAGATCCCACTGCCAACCCGGCCTCCAGAATGGGGCATGATCCTAAGACCACTTTTGAGGATGGCTGCCACCACTGCTATATTTGTGCCATGCCAGAGCAGGCGGCGGTTCTCTAGGTTGTCATTTTCACTAAAGCGTTCTCCCTTGAATTTACAAAGTATTAGATCACAGCTTGTTTTTTTTTCCAATAAAAGCAGAAAACTGGCAGATCAGACTTACCTCTGTCTCTCGATCCACCTCCCAAACATTGAGAATCTTTGGCTTACGACCTTGACCTGAAGTTGCCTTTGTGTATTTCTCAATGATCTTAAGAGGCAAAAAACATTAAACACCTTAGGGACAGGAAAATTATACCTATTTTTAGCTATAAAAGGGCACAGTACCTTATACATATTTGTATTTTTGGCAAGTAAAGACAGTTTGCATTTGAGCGAAGTGTAGTCTTGGTCAATAGGATGAGGAACTGTCTCCATCATCTCTTCCTGAGCTTTCTCTGTTTCTGATTTCAGTGTCTGGGCGAGCTCAATGTCTGCCAGCACCTAAGGAACAACATTTTAAAAGAATGTTAGTGCTGACAACTTTTATAAGAGCAAAACTAAAACTAAATAAATATTTTACCATGAGCATCTCCTTTTTCTTCTCAACAATCTCTTTGCTGTCTATGGCTGGAGGTCTGGTCCTGCCAAAGTTGTGAGGGATTGTAGTAAAGAACTTTGATGAGAGTTCTTCAAGGTGCCCTCTTCTACCCTTTTGGTCGATAGCAGCTGCAATCTCCTCCAAAACTTCAAACCCTTTTGCAATCTGTGCCTTACTGAGCTTGCCCAGGGGCATCTTCTTGATGTCTAAAATGTACATGAACAAAGAACAACTGGTTAAATCAAGGATTTCAGTAGGTCTATTGGCACACTTGCTTTGCTAAAAAAAGCATTATAAACATTGAAATTAGTCTTTTAAAGAACTCTTGCATTCTTGAAACAGCTTTAGTCTTTAAGCTCACAGAGACCGTATATTGATGGCTGACCTAAAAACTAAGAAAGTAGATTTTTTAAATGACCTTTGACACTTTCAGTAATGAGGTGCATGGGTCTTTGTCCTTTTCTGTAATCCTATTACAAGTATCACATCTGTGTAGAACGTTTCCTTATAATTTGACCCATTTTTTCTTCAAGAACAAGGTTTTTTTTTTTTTGCACCTCCACAGTAAGTTTCAGCCTTACTGGAGTGGTTTGATTACATTAAGATTTCCATAATGTTGCATGCAGTTTATCTGTCTACAGGCATTATTTTGGAGATGTAAACCCTATTCTAAAAACTTCATTGTCAGAAGTGCAGCACATACCAAATTTTTAATGCCTGCAGCACAATGCCTTTGACATAAAGAGCATTAGTTACTTATTCCGGCCAGTTAGGAAGACCCTCATTATTGCACCCAAAAAAAACGAGAGGCATGAGTGTCATTGTTGTGTGTTTTTTTTATCTATTCATTGTTTCAGAATTTAAGATTTATTTTTTCTTAAAATGTATTTGTTTCATAATTGTGTTTGTAACGCTTATTTTATAAAGCAACTTTAGGTATTTTATATTCACTTCTTTGTCTTTTTTTTTACTTTTCTTTTATTTAAATGAGAAGGCAGTGTTTTTAAACAAACCGGGATTATACAGCTTTACAGACTAGTCAGAAGTTGGTATACAGACTTCTAAAGCTAAAGAAATATTTTTAACTGTATATTTATTTTTTAAATAAGCAAATTGATCTATATTATGGAATAGTTACTAATAATTTTGCTTAATTGTATTTTTTATGTATTTAATTTAATTACAATTAATAAAATAGTTTTAATTAAAACGGCAAAGGATATGCAGCGTTATATCAATTTAAATAGAAAAAAAAACTTTAAGAACAGAGACATAGTATAAGAATTGAAATACCTATATTTAAAAAAGCTAAGATAAGGAGAGTGCAATTTCACACTTTGTTTCGAACAATGGTTGATCATTTGCATGTCTGTTCTTTCATTTTCATTTTCTTTTCATTACTACATTTTGAATCTCAACTTCAAGCCAAGCTAGTGAGACACAGCCACCTAAATTCATGCATTCCATCGCCTCCTTGAACATGTCGTTGCTGAAAATGAGCTTAATAAGTTTCTGTGTAGCTTCATCGAGAGTGCATGGGAGCACATTTTTGGAGACTCCCCCTGCTTTGCCATCAACATGGTCCACCTGTTGAGAAAAAAAATGTAGATAGAGATTGCTTCCAAAGATGAAGCTAATGAAAATATTAACAGCGGCTGCAGGGACCCAATGCTTCATGCTGCAATGGGATGATGTGTTACATCACCTTGACCTCAGCATCCTGCTCTCCTTCTACTTCAATCAGTGTGTACTTCCCAGGGTGAGAAACAAAGTTCATCCGATCAGCCCAGTTGTTCTTGGTCTTATCCTTAAACTTCTTCTCAAAGTCTTTTAAAGCCAATTCAACCTTATCAAACGGAGTCAGTTTGGATTGTCCCATTTCTCCCTAAAAAGTATAAAATAACACAGATTTAGTGTAATAATACCTCCCAGTGTTCATTTAACATTAATTAAGTAAAGAAATCCCTTTCTTAGGAAATACCATGTCAACAAAAAAAGTTATTTAATCCAAAATGGATTTAAAGGCTTTTGAAAACCAAACACACCGTTTTTTTTGTTTTGTTTTACTAGGCACAACAACCTAATTACCACTATATAAAAAATATGCAATTTCAATAGCGGCGTTTTCTCATTGAACTCTAGGGAGGCTAAACCTCAGCTATAAGTTTCATAAACTAATTGGTCAAATATATATTATTACATTTCAGAAATGTGGTCATTAAACTGAATTAAATGTCCGCTTAATTATGCTGGATTTATCAATATTCGGTTGAGCCCGCTCTTAGGTGAATACGCCCCTCTGCTCTGGATCAGCAGGTATCGGCAGGCCAGTCAAGTCTCTCATCGATGTATTGTAATTTACCCAACGAGAAAGTAGAGGCCTCTTATGGGGTCTATGGAGCAGGGGCAGATCGTAAAGCTGGCCGCTTGATGCTGATTGGCTAAACACACCTAAATATGTGTCTGACAGTTGCCAGACAGGAGAGGTTTTTCTCACGAGACTCCGACAACAGAGGAAAAGGTGATATTTAAGTCAGAGCAGTCATCTTGTGCTGAACTTTCGTGCTGGTTTCTGGACTTTACTAGTTCAAGGCGTTCCACAACAGCTTGTTGTATGTCTTTAAACATTTTTAAATGAGCCTATTTTACCTCAAGCTACCGTGCTGTTTCTGCAGATGTGAAGTTAAAGGAATAGTACACCCAAAACATGATTAGCCTTCATTTTCTACTCACCCCCATGCTGAACAACACCCTGGAGGACTTTTTTGATATCTCAAATGCATCTGGAGATCTGGGAGGCTCCTTGCTGTCTGCTGACATTCAAATAATGGAGGTCCATGGCGCCCGAGACAGAAAGGTCCATAAAAGTCCACAAAAACGTGTCAATATTCCTCCATACTGCTCGTCCAATGTAATCCAAGTGTCCTCAGTGGGTAGCGTCCAGAATTTACTCGAAACGAAGTCATTTAGAACGTTTTAGAGCCTAAACAGTAGTGTATAGGATTTCCAAATAGCACCCCCATGCGCGCTCACGATTCTACGGAAGCCGGCAGACCAAACCGGAAGAAAGTGCGCATTCAGCGTCTGCTCTGCCGATAATGCAAGCGTAGAAGAAGAAATGTGCTGTTTACCTGTGCAAAGAAAGAAACAACGAAAGAAAAATGTCTGAGGACTTCAGTGTTGAGGAAGAGCATGAGTTCTTTGCCGAGCTGAATGCGCTGGTTTGGTCTGCCGGCTTCCGTAGAATCGTGAGCGCGCATGGGGGCGCTATTAGGAAATCCTATACACTACTGTTTAGGCTCTAAAACGTTCTAAATGACTTCGTTTCGAGTAAATTCTGGACGCTACCCACTCAGGACACTTGGAATACATTGGACGAGCAGTATGGAGGAATATTGACACGTTTTTGTGGACTTTTGTGGACCTTTCTGTCTCGGGCGCCATAGACCTCTATTATTTGAATGTCAGCAGACAGCAAGAAGCCTCCCAGATCTCCAGATGCATTTGAGATATCAAAAAAGTACTCCAGAGTTTTGTTCAGCATGGGGGTGAGTAGAAAATGAAGGCTAATCATGTTTTGGGTGTACTATTCCTTTAAGCGTGCTCATGTTAAAGGCACACTATGCAACATTTTTCAGTTAATTAATGTGTTCCATAACGTTATGGATGATTAAATGAGTCATTTCAGGTTGTACAAAGGTATTCTCGGCCGCCCTGGTGGTCTGTGGGGGAAATACTGCACTTGCAATTGCAGGAGCACCGACCCGCACCCACAAGCTCAGAAGTCTCGTGAGAGTCAGTCTTGCTTTACGGCGAGAACTGCTAGACGCCCACAGTTAAAAGCATTCTCGTTGCTAGCACAGTGGCGATCTTTGTGCAGTTATGCTACGTTCACGCAGCAAAAGCAGCAAAATCGCGTCTGCTGCTTCCTTTTTGCTGCTTGTACCAGTTAGTTCTGACGCGCTTTGCTGCTCTGGCTGCGCGGTGCAAAAGTGTATCTGAGGCGCGTTGGGCGGAGCTTCACTATCCTTTCTCTGCCTTGCAGCTATATTTGCTGTGATCAGTGGGAATAAAGTAGTTTTAATATGTGTTTAAGTGAGAAAATACACCTGAAAACGTAATCAGTGCAGTCAGTTCATTCAGATTATTATCCTGCCTTCAATATTGTTTCTGTCGGAGCCGCTCAGACCCCCACATACCAGGGATGCGCCGACAGTATGGATCCCTTCATCAGCAGCGGTTCACCACGGCAGCTGGTAGGTGTTTTTCATCTAAATAATCCAAACTGCTTATTCTGCCGGCAGATTTCTGCATTTTAAGTTAATTTAGGCGTCAATAAACTGTTTAAGAGAAGTGATCATCAGCGCTGTGTCTCTCTCCCTGCTTTAAACGCACCTACGCGCTGCTTCAGCTGCTCAGACGTGCTGCGCCTGCTGCACGTCTGAGCAGCTGAAGCAGCACCGCACCGCGGGACCTTTTGCTGCGCCTTGACGCACGTCAACCATTGACTTTGCATGTAAACTCGCTGCTTCTGTCGCGCCAGCTACGTCCAGTGTGAACGCAGCATTAGTCATTCGCTGCTAAGCTCAAAACAACCGCACCTGGCTTGACGGAGAAACCAGGAGAACAGCTGAGCATATTTACGACAGTGCACTTTTACTTTCGCCCTCTGGGGGGAGCCTCGCTGGAAAATCACCACCGGTTGCATAGTGTACCTTTAAGTAGGTACAACCTGGCAAACAATGGAAGTGTTATATTCAAGATGGATTTTTCGGGGATTTTGTAAATACTCAGAAGTGACCGATACCAAGCTCCAGACACCAATGACAACCCTATATAAGATAAAAATAATTTTAAAAAGAAGAGAAAAACTTGAAGCATTTGCACGGCCTACAAGAATGAGCAGAAGAGTACTGCAGTTCTGTGTTTTGGCCACAAATGGCAGTATCATTAGAAAACTCAGTCATGCCTCTTTAATGTTCTATTTACATTCACTGAAAAAAAAGATAAAAAAAAGGAAAACAGTAGTTTAGGCAAAAGAAAAAAAGAAACATGAAAGCAATGGTACTGCTGATATAAAATTAGTCTCCCCTACACTAAGACAGTGGAGCACACCATCCCAGTCCTAAAGTTGTTACTCTGGCTCCTCGTATCTCAGAGAATAAACTTTTAAATACTTCAGTAAATCTAAAACTCCCCCAATGACTGAACAACAAAATACATTACAGGCTTGTCAGTGTATTAACCACTCAGACCTCCCAGGTCTTCTGACTCAAATAGACTCTGCATACCTAGAACCAAAAACAGAGCAGCAGCTTTTACTTGTTATGCGCCTCTAATCTAAAAATAAACACCCAGAATACAGTAAAATCTGCAAAACTCTAAAATGCTTCAAATTGAGATTAATAACATATTTGCTTCGAGTAGCCTTTCGCTGTGCCATCTAAACATAGTTACATTTTGAGTCCTTTCATTTTTTTAATACGATCACTTTATTTTCCATTAATTTTTATAATTATATTTTCTTAAAATATTATATTCACCTTTATGGCACTAAAATATTTTATTTATTTTTTTCATGTACAGCAATTTGAAAAGTTTTACCAATGCTATATAAATAAACTTCCCTTGCCTTTAACTGATAGGTTGTTGCTTTTCCGTAAAATTAAGAATAAAGTTAACAGTTGATGTTGAGGGGAACAAACATATAGGCAGCTAGCCTATATGACATATGATAAAACATCTAAAAACAGGCATGTACTTAATTTCTGCTCGTCAGCTGTTAACTTTCTTCTTTGTAGAAGTCCATGATGATCGCTTACGCTCAGAAGGTGGACCCCGCTGTGGTCATCCTGTCATTGTGTGATGACTTAAATACTAAATTGCTGCTGCTACATACCTAGAACCAGAACTAAACATGGAGAAGCAGCATTTAGTTCCTATGCTCCACTTATCTGGAACAAACTTCCAGAAAACTGTAAAAGTGCGGAAAGCCTGAGTTTCTGAGACTAGTTATACTCCATAGGTGTGCAAAGCTTCCCGCTGACCCACCTGGATTACAAAACGGGATGTAAAGTTGGGATTAAACCCCAAAACTGGGTTTTTCCAGAAGCCTGGAAAAATAAAAGTTGCAGGCTGCACCTTTAGATCACTACAACACAGCATTCATTTCAGTTGCACAGTGTTTATATAATGAATAGGGATGGGGATCGTTAATATTTATTGATATCGATACTTCTTATCGATCCGAGTCTTTATTGATACCACTATCGATACTTTTCTGTTATTTGGTGGAAAGACCGTGCGACAATATGTTTTTAACAGACAGAAAGGAAGTGGGGAAAAAAATTATTTGAAGAAATGTCCTATATTTTGAAGAAATGTCTTCTTTTGGTTTAAAAAAATATATAAATTTTCACAATTGTTGGTTAATGTATTGTCTACTGTCACTTTTCATCGTGTTTTTAGTTATTAGGAAAATATTTAGCAAATAAATAATTGTCTTTTAAATTAAATGTAATTTTTAATAAATGTTGGCATCAGTAGTTTAATCATATATTCTAAAATAATTAGAGCAATATACAACTGTATTGCTCATGTTTCTCGCCAAAAACTCAATATCCCTTTTCTTTACGTTACACTTGAACGCATCATGATAACCTAATTGTCGTTTTACTGAGCCAATCTGAACACATCATCACGCAGCACGTCTGAAACTTTATTTATTTTTCAAGCTAACTAGCTTGTATGCTGCCGATTACAGCCTCCTCCTGCAGCGGCAGCAGCAGGAGGAGGAGTCTTTTCAACCCGGAGACAGTCGAAGGTACTGCATTTGGCCTTTATTTCATGCACAATACTAATGTGCTTGGCCATTGAGGTTGTGTTCACCCCTTTAAAAGAGATCATTTTGCAACATAAGTTGCATTTCGCTTCTTCTTTATCTTTGAGCTTGGTAAAATGAAGCCAAACTTTAGACCTTTTCGTCCGTTCAGCCATCCTCGAGTCGCGAGCGAAGTTAACTGCCAGACTTGTTTTACTTTTAATTTCTGTTTGCTTACAATTTCATTCCAAAACATTGGTGGACATGCTGCAGTGATTGGATTGATTAGATTTAAATGCTGTGACGCGACTCGAGGAACACACAATTATGTTACAGGACCTCCGGGAGAAAAGAAAAAACGACCAGACTCAATAGTGGTATCGATAACCCCAAACGTTATTGATTTTCGGGTTTTGAAAAAAGTGGAACCGGGTCCTTGATAGAACCGGGTTTCGATCCCCATCCCTAATAATGAATAACTTTTTTATTTTTTTTAAACAACCAGTATGAACCAGTTGCAATTAAAATCATGCTGTTGTTCTACAGTCATGTCACCAGCCTTGTGTAAACCCCAGCCCAAGAGCATGGTTTAAAAAAGTTACAACCTCTCTAACTGAGCATTGTTCTGTTAGATATCGTCCAGTTAAAAGGGAGTCTTTCTTTTCCACTGTCACCAGATGCCTGCTCAGAAGGAAGGTTTTCTACAAAGTAAAAGACTTTACAAAATTAACTAGGATACTTAGATAATTGGCCTGTTGTCATAAAGTGATTGTTATATGTTTAGAATATAACTGCACTGATTATGACTACGCTTTATCAGAACGCTTCAGGTTCATTTGAAATAAATCTGGAGCATACTGGAAAACAGAACTGTAGAAAAACATGACAGGATGCTTAAATGCCTTGAGATTACATCTTTTTTTGATTTGGCTTAATATAATAACAAAAAAAAAAAATCAACATTAACTGAATCATGTCGGATATAACCTACCACTCTTCCCCAGCGGTTCCATGAATAGTAGGAGTTGTTTTCTTTTACAACTTGAATGACGTAAAACTTGTTGTTGTTGTTTCCTATGTTTGTTTGGTTGAGCATGCAGTCATAATCCTTGTGCACCTGATGGAAATAATAAAAAGTATTTAACTTTCAGAAGTCTCACTGATAGATGACATAATATGGACTGTCAGTGCTTTTGATCTACCTCTGCTGAAGACAGGTAGCAGTGCTCATCCACCTTCCTTTTGCCTTTCATCTGTGGCCCTGCAGCCAGAAGTGCCTCTTTTGCAGAGGTGAAGGCGTCCTTGGGCTCCTCTTTCACCTTTTTTCCTCCTGCCTTAGCAGCAGAGGCTGATCTTCTCTTTGGGGCCATGCTTTAGCTAAAGACAGGAGAAACTCACTATGCTTATCACTGGATGTGCTGCCAGGACAAGGGAATATGCCTGGACTCGCCCAGTGGCACTGTCTCTCACTGAACATGGTCAATAATACACTTGTTGTACATTTACATAGTATTATAGCTTTACATGTAATTTACTGTCCAGATAATGCAATTTGTTTTGCATTTTTCAAATAACAGAGAGAAAAAAATTGTTTTTATAAGTTTGGGATATCAAATAATCCTTCCGCTTCACACTGATCAGGAAATAACACTAATAGAAAACCTACCTTTTCTTGAATAACTGATATCAGTAGCTACGGTAGATCTTTAGTAGGCGAATATTCCCTGCGGAATCACTTCCTACTGCTGCCTCACTGGTTCTCGACAGGCTCCAGTCATTAAAGGAAGAGGTTGGACCTCAATGTACTGTTTGCAGCTGCGCCGCGGTCGCCACCTGGCGGTCAGACACGGCAACGCTTCTTATCAAGAGGTGTGACGTCATGAAAATAAACAAATAAATGTACAAAATTCTCAATGAAAAATAGATATACAATCAAATGAACAAAAATACAGTGAAGAAATAAATGTAAACAGTAATTCAATTACAATAAGAAAGAAATATGAGAAATAAATTGCAAATGTTCTTATTCCCCATTCATTTTTTTGGTCTGTTTTTTTGTCTTTTTGTTGAACCTTTGTATTTTATTCTTCCTATGTATTTTGTTACCCCATTTCTTTATTATTTACTATTTATTATTTATAATGTTTATTGTTGTTTATTTATGACCCACCCTAAATGTGACTAGTCTTGATGTGTAGTAGTAGTGACTCTAGTCCTAAACTCTCCTGGATGACCGAGCTCCTCCCTCTGTCTGTAAGGGAGTGCCCAGTCGACCTGTGGAGAAAGCTTGTACAGGGCTCTCATTCATTTTATTATAATCCAGACTTTATGACTATAGGTGAGGGTAGGAATGTAGAGCAACTGGTAAATCGAGAGCTTTGCCTTTTCGCTCAGCTCTCTTTTTTACCACAACAGCCTGTTACAACGTCTGCATTTATAATAAAAGCAGCGGAATAATCCGACTATCCCCCGCTCAACCCTCCCCTCTTTCATGAACAGGACCCCACCTGTTCAAATATCATAAATTAAACAATGTGTGACTTTTTTTCCTCCTGCCTTGGCAGCAGAGGCTGCTCTTCTCTTTGGGCCCAGACTTCAGCCACAAAACTAGAGAAACTTGCTATCCCTATTATTAAATAGGTGTCAGGACAAGGGAACATGCCCCTACTCTTTCAGTGGCCCCCTTTTAATATTATATATACACACACATGGTAAGGTCCATACATTTTGGGACATTAAACCAATTCTATATTTTTTGGCTCTATACACCACAATCGTGGATTTGAATTGAAACCAACAGGATGTACTTGAACTGAAGAATTTCAGCATTAATTTGAGGCTATTTTCAAGTCAGGTGAAGGAATTATAACACTTTGTAAATGTTCCTCCCACTTTTTAAGGGACCAAAACCTATTGGAAAAGTTGGCAATAAATCAAACCTGCTGCTTTTGTTATGGATGACATAATCTATAAATACAAGGAAACCTGTTCCTTTGACAGCCATACATGCCTACACCATGACACTACCACCACCATGCTTCAATTATTAGGTGGTATGATTTGGATCATGAGCAATCCCTTTCATCTCCATACTCTTTTCTTTCCACTATGCTGGTATGATACAAGTTGATCTTTGTCTATAATCTGCTCTAGTCATAGTATGTAGTTTTAGAGCTGTAAAGGCTTTTTCAGATGTTGTTTGGCAAACTCTAATTTGGCCCTCCTGTTTTATGAACCATTCCAGTGCTTTACATATTTTGCTGAACTCTCTATTCCAAACAGTTTATCTGCCTACACCAATTTTTTTGCTTTCTCTTTGATGGGTTTGTTTTGATTTTTCAGATGGCTTGCTTCACTGATGATAAGATTTCTTTGGACCTTGTTTGAGCTGACAGCAACATGTTCCAAATGCAAACAGCTCAGTTGAAATGAACTGAATTGATCTAATCTTACTGTAGGATGGAAACTGAGATTTCAGTTTCACAACAGCTGGTGTGAGAAGTTAATCAACTCTGAGTAGGTTCACTCGGAGTCAAACTCGTGCCTAATATCTATAAAAAGCCATCATTAATAAAGCCCCAATTCGGTGAGTCACCATGACAACAGCAAAGAGGAAGGCTTCCTATTTCACAACATAGAGATATAAATGCAGGCATATGGTGAGATGGAGCATGTTTGTAAAAGAAAAAGCAGGAACGCTACAGTTGCAAAGGAGAGGGAGATGGCAAAGGAGATTATCGCTGCTCGAGTTTGTGCATTTAGTAGTATATGTTATGGCAGGCCGTTTTGTAATTGTTTTTAGAAGAACTTGTCTTCTGTTTTTCAATTTCAAATCACTAAAATAGGATTCTTCCTCATTGGAACTACACTCCTAGTCAGAACTCTAATAAAAGATTTCCTAAATTGCATCATGGTAGAGACAGGTCTGTGGGTGAAGGATTCCAAGTTTTGGGGGGTAGGGGGAAGTTACCAAATATTTAAACACGTGTTGTGATACCTTAAGATGTTTATTGCCCTTTATCTTATTTAATCAGATATTATTCGGAATGTCATATATTGTTTATGGACACACGCCCTGCTAGCTGTGTGTTAGAACAACAAACGAAAGAGTGATTCGAGCTCAAATCCTAGTCAAACAGTTAACTCTACACATACATGGAATAAATTCACCACAACTTCTGTTCAAAATATAAGAGTTTATTAACAAAAATCATTCAGCTCCAAATCAAACATATTTCGGTTTAAAACTTTTGACTAAAAACTAGTGAAACTTAACTAAACTAAACTACTATCTTCGAAGAGGAAGGGGAAGCATGGTTGAAAACCATATTACAGTTTACTGTAGCACTGATTTTGTGTTTGAGAACCAAAGTTTACCTTGAAGAATTTTGGATGTGATCAAATTAGTTTTTCACTGATTCATAGCGATTTGAATGTTTTCAAACCAATTCATAATGCAAATCCATGAGGTGAAAATTATTTGGCCAAATAATGTTTAATTGAATAATTTGCTTAATCAGGAACCAATAACCTTTAGTTAAATGATTCTTTACTCTCTTTGAAATAGCTGGCAGCAAATAGAGATCAGGATTCCATTAAATGGCTTTTAGTCATAACTTGGTATTGGAAATGTAATGAGCATTTGAGGAACAAATAAACACTAATGTTATATCAGTGTTTAAACCCTTAGTGTAATAAAGCGTGTCCAATCTTCAACAACAGCTCAAAGCATTTTACTGTAGCATAGTGTACCATGTGATCCATCCTGTTAGCTTTGTCTTTACCCATCAGTAAACACATGAAATGATCAAAATCATCAAAAGAAATATTGTTTCACTAGATTCTTTCCCTAACTGTGACAGACCTTATACCTCTGTTCCTGTCCTTTTTGGAAGATTTGAGTTTTCATCCAGCAGCAGCTTACTGTAGCATGGCAGGCCCACAGCAAAGGGGGCTTTTCTTAGTCCCACGCGTCTCCAACTAAGGGAACGGCCCTTTAAGACTTTCTCCTCCAGTCCGGCTCTGTAAGTTCTGAAACTCAAAGAAATGTGTTGCAAAAAGTCTTTTTAGCAGCAGTTAGGATCTGAAAAGTCAACCATCATGGCTTATCCTGATGAAGATTCTCAGTCATCCAGGTCATAGTCATTCCGTAAAAGTTTAAAAAACAATTCACTGGACTTGGTTTCCAAAGTTTCAAGACATTTCGCTTCCCCTCCAGGAAGCTTTCTTAATTCAAATGTCTGGATCCGCAGTGAGTTTGACTTTTTATATAGACAAGGCCTTGTATTGTTTGGCAACATGCAAATTGAAACCAACGAGTGGGTTGTTTGGTTCCATTGTTAGCCTGTAATATCTGAAACCTGTCTAGGACCAGAATGTTCACATTCTGGATAAATAAAATAGGTGGTTTGAGAGGGGCGTGAAGGAAGCCATCTATGTTAAGAGAGAAAAAACAACTTTAAACAGAGGTGGTGGACTCAGATTCCAGCTTCCAAAAACTTACAATTCAGTTATAGAGACGATCCCTTCCAGGTATCACCCCTCATTGCGGATCCAGACATTTGAATTGAGAAAGCTTCCTGGAGGGGAAGCGAAACGTCTTCAAACCTTGGAAACAAAGTCCAGTGGATCGTTTTTTAAACTTTTACGGAATCATGGATCATTCTGGAAATTTTGGCCATTGGGCCTGGTGCCATGGTTTTATCCTCTTTCAATGTGAAGCTTCACGGAAAGAGAAAGGACTTCTCTGTGCTGTGGTTTTTACTGTTCTCAGCTCCATGTGGGGTCCAAGGCACACCTCATTGGGAGGCAACCTGTGGAGCCAGTTGGCTGAGAGGGGATTGCAGCGTAGAGAAGAGAGGTCTCACAGCTATTTTATGAGCAAAACTGCAACCTCTTCCCCAGTGATCATATTAAGATGAAACATGGACACTCAGTGTCCAAAATTATTATCATGGTTTATGGCACAAAACAGATATTTTCTGGCAAATAACAATAAAGTCAGCAAACTTTTCATGAGAGATATTTTTTGTAAATTGGAATGTTGCGATATGAGGGTTATATTTACTGCATGAGATATTTTTAGGGGTCCAAAACCCCCCCTTAACCCCCTACAAATGAAGCCCTTGCTTCCCTTGCTTTGGACGGTTTTGTCAAATTTTTTTCTTTATTGTGGTCATTATCAACTTCTCTTAATTTCATTGGATAAAAGAATATGGCGACAAAAACCAAGAACTGTCCTTAGGGACATTTGCAAACTTTAATACACCCTGTTAGAGTAATGGAGCTAAGGCTTTCAGTAAAAGCCCACATAAGACTTCTTTCATAATATATATATATATATATAGATAAATATATATATATATATATATATATATATATATATATATATATATATATATATATAAGAGTATATATATATAAGAGTAGAATGGCTGTACAGTTATATATGCTGGTTTGTGCAAACTTGGGACATTTAGGCTTCCTACAGTTGAACTTGAGGCTTAACCGGAGATATAGGGATCTGAATTTACCTCCAGATAGCTGATCTAATTTTTGAAAGATAAAAAAAAATGTTATTATGTCTCACAAAGAAGCATTATGTTTCATATTTTCAGTTTGAAATAAACATTTAACTTTGATATAAAATAAAATGATCTCTTTCACTATTCTGTATCAAGTAAATAGATCATTTGTTATGATTATCATAACTGACCTAAAACAGAAAAAGAATAGTATGATATAAATGTAGATAATAAAAAAAATGTTCACTGTGTACAATAGATTTAAACTTTTGTTTTGAGTTTGAGGTCTCTGGATATTTA